CTAAATATAGTTATATATGTGAAACGTTAATATTAATGTAGAACATTTGTGATCGAAATTGTAAATCTCAGATTTAGTGTGATAAAAGTATATAGAAATAAGAAAAAGAAAATAAATATGATATTTAGGGTATAAATATAAGGTTTAGGATAAAATAAGAGTGAGATAATTATACAATTGAATAAAAATAATAATAATCAGGTGATAAATGGTAAAAATTAAAAAAAAGAGAATTTCATATAATCAAAGAAGGATTATTGAATTAGAGAAATTTATGTTACTACAGTAACAATACTTTCAAATAAATATGCTTGCTCTCACTGTGAAGATTGTGATAAAGTCAGAAATATATATTATTGATAACTATGAAAAATGACATTTTTATACTTATGAACACCAGTACATCTTTTGGTTCAATCGTGGAGGCTGGCGTAAAAATACTGGAACTATTAAAAAGCTCTGAGAAAGATATCTTCTTCTTAATGTCTACTTAGCTTGCAATGAAATTGGAAAAGCAATACTATCCCAATATATTTAAGAGAATGATATTGTAAATAAAATTAGATATATCAAATACAATGATTCAGAAGAAGTCTCAGCAGCAGAAATCTTTCACTCCATTTATCAGCAGATTACTCTAGAATGATGATTACAATTAGTCAAACTTGAATTTATTAATGTTAAGCTATGTGAAGAATAGTGTTCCTATGAACTGAACTGGACTGGACTTTTACCTGAGTTTGAGTTCAGTTCAAAATTCAAATTGAACTCAAACCAGACTTTGGCTTGATTTCAAGAAAGGTTTGAAGTTCAAACTGAACTCGAACTGAATCATTATACGAGTTTGAGTCTGGTTCGAGTTTGATTAAAGATTGACATATAGTATCATATACTAATTTGTAGCTCTAAATATAAGCTACAACTTTACTTATAAGCATATAAAAATTTACATAGTAATAACTAAAATATTTTTATTTTTATATAGTCAAATCCCTTTATAGTCATCACCCTTAGGAAAGTAAAATTTGGTGACTATAGAGGAAATGTGACTATAGAGAGATTTTTTTTATTATGTTTTTATGTAAATAAGAAAGTAAAATAGAGTGACTATAGAGGGATGTGATTATAAATGGGTGTGATTATAGAGAGGTTTGACTATATTTATTAAATTTGATCATAAATACTATGTAACTCTGAATAATTATTATTAATAATAACTATCTTATTACCAATTTGTAGCTCTTATTTCTGATTGCAATTTTATTTATAACTGCAATTTATGATTACTATAGCAAAATAAATGTTTATTCTATTAAAACTAAAGCAGATTAAAATTATAATAATTAAAATTATTTTTTAAATTAATATAACTTCTTAAATATTCATTTTAAATATTAATTATCTTATATCAATTTGTAACTCATGTTAAGATCTATAACTTTACTTAAAATATTAACAGATATTTACTTGAATTCAAATTAAATTTTTGATCAGGTTCAAAATTCAAACTGAATTCAAATTAGATTTTTAATTAGATTCAAATTTTTGAACTAAACCAGATTTTTTTTGAAATCCTATTATAATCTGCAACAATTTTGATCAAAATTTTTATCATGATCCCCCACAAGAAATATTAAAGAGAATTATTAACTTTAATTATTATATCATAATCTATTTTTAAATAATAAAATTTTTCTCATATTATTAGATTTCAAAAAGTCTGGTTTAGTTTGAAAATTCAAATCTAATTTAAAAGTTTGATTTGAATTTTGAATCAGACTCAAATCTAACAAAAGTTTGAGTCAAGTTCAAGTAAATATTCAAAGAAGTTCTAAGTTATAGATTATAATTAAAGCTACAATATATATTATTAGAAAATATATAAAAATTAAATCTAAGAGTATATTTAAAAAGTTTGTATATTTATAAAAAATATTTTATTTAATAATATTATTAATTTAAAATTGAACCAAAATATATATTTATAAAATAAAAATATAATATATATATTAGAACGAGTATATTTAGAGAGAGTTAACTATATATATTTAAAAAATATTATAATTTTAATTTATTTTATAATAAATATTTATTTTTTAATAAAATTATTAACTATAATTTTAAATAAAGTTATAATTAAAAATCAAAGCTACAAATTGATATAAAATAATTGGTATTAATAATAAATATTTGAAGAATTATATAGCATTTACAATAAAATTTAATAAATATTATAAATTTTACTTTAAATAAAGTTATAACTCAAGTTCAGAGCTATAAATTAATATATAAACTAAGTATAATAAAAATAGTATAAATTATATTATAAATTCTGATATATTTTATATTATTTCTATTATATTTAGTTCATATAATATTATATATTAATCTCAAATTGAATTTGAATTAGATTTAAACTTATATATTTTCTTAATAAAAATTATCAATTAATAAAATTAATAATTAAATTTATTAATAAAAATTAAAATTTTCTTACTATATTAAAATTAAAAATTTTAATTTAATAATTCAATTTAAATTCGAGTTAAACTTCAAGTTTAATTCAAGTTTAGTTCAAATTTTAAATCAAATTTAAACAAAAGTTCAGTTTAGTTTATAGAAATATTATATATATTATATATTAAATTATACAAAATAATTTTCTGGTTTTTATATTTGACTAAATTATTAAATTAAAATTATAAAATTTTAATTTGAAATATAATTTATAATTAATTAATAAAAATATATTAATATTATATAATTAATATTATATAAAAATTCTATAAATAAAAGTACTTTTATTATATTATATTATAATATAAAAAATTAATTAATTATTATATTATTTAATAAGTATAATAACAATATTTAAAAAAAGAAATTTGTATATAAAAAAATATAAAATCAAATATAAAAATTATTATTATATATTAATTTAATTTAAATATTTTTTTCTTGTTTTTATTATTTTGTTTAAATTTTAATACTTTTTTAAATAATATTATAATTATTATAATTATTACAATTATTACAAAATAATTATTTATTTTTATTAATTTTTATATTTTAAAATTTTTGTATAAATAACATATTAAAAAATTATAATTAAATAATATATTTTTTCTATTGATAATATATAATTAAATTTATTTATAATTATTATACTTATACTCTTTTATAGTTATTTTTTTATTTATATATAAATATAGTAAAAAAACTTTTTTATAGTTACATTTTCTCTATAGTTATTAAATTTTGCTTTTCTGAAAGTGATAATTATAAAAAAGTTTGATTATATAGTAAAATTTCTTTAAGTACATTTTTATAAATATATATTATATAAACTCTCTTTAAATATATAATATAATTTATAAAATACATATATTTTACTTTTTATAAATATATACTTTTTCTAAATATATACTTTATTTATTTTTTATTCTAGTTTCAAAATGAATATATTTAGAAAAATTTTATTATATATATTTATAAATCTTTCACAAAAACTCTTAAAAGTTTATAAATTAAATTATTCATATTAATATTAGCTTCTTATAATTATAATTATAATTATAATTATTTTATCATTTTTTGATTAAATTCTTGATTTTTTTTATATAATTAAAATCAATAATTATACTATATTATTATTATTCTTAATATTTTAATTTATATTTTATTAAGCTCAAATTGCTTTAACAATATAATTATCATCAGATTACAAGTATTATAAAATAATATTTATATATACAATAGTTAACAAAATTAATATAAAAAATAAAAATATATATTAGTAAAATTTAAAACTTTTATATAAAACAAAAATTTCAATTTTATTATATTTCTTGTATATGTGATTCCATAATTATTTATCTCTTATATAAAATGTCAATAAGAAATTTCTTTTTTGAATTTACTTTTTATTGTGATCAATATATAACAATCATAATATTTGGTTATACCATTAAAATTCTCTTTTTTAATAACACTTACTTTTTTAATTATGATTTATTTAGAATTGTAATTCAATATTGGAATTACAATTTATAAACTAGTTATGACTCTTCATTATAGAAAACAAAAAATAATATACAAAAACCAATAACCCAAATAACCACATCTTCCGGGCTCATAAGAATAACTACCACCTTTCTTAATTATTAGTATTGTTATTTTTGTTGTGTTGATTTATGTTTTTGGTGTAGTAGTTACGCAATTTGTGTGTTTGAAAAATCGATGCAACTTTACTGTCTATACATGGTAGATTATAGGGTACGAGGTAAGTAGGTAGGTAGATGTGTGTGTATGGATATTAATAGACGTAAAGAAAGGGAAAGATGGGAAGAAAAGAGAAAAAATATGCATCACTATACAATTTTAAATATACACAGGTTAAATAAAAATAAAGATGAAGGGATTATTTAAATAAACTAAAATAACCATCGCTTATTATATATATTTTGTTATCTCTTAACAAGTGAATTTTGTCTGGGGATTTTTTAAGTGATGAAAAAAGATGTGATGTGAAGATGGTATATGTGGGATGAAAAACAATAAATAAATAAATAAAATTTTCATGGGTGTTATACAAAAAAAATTAAAATAAAAAACCAAGCCCTCTCTCTATTCAATGTTTTTGTTTTCATGCATTGTCAAGTCTAGCCCGGTTACTGAACTGGCGCTAGAGTGTTTATGATGACCATTACCACCACCACCGTTATTAATATTTGATTTTGATATTAGAGACCTTGCCTTTCTTGGCCGGGACTCATCTACCAACGAATGATGAGCTAATTAATAAAAAAATACATTTTTAGTTATATAATAATGAAATTATTAAAAAAATCAAATATAAAAACTATACTCACAGTCATAAGAATCGTTGGAATTTTCATCCAACGACGACCTCCCATTCGCATAACTACTATTACTATTGTTGTTGTTGCCTTGTAATGGGGGAAAAGTTGAAGATTTTATATGCGGACTATTGTTGCTAGTGCTAGGAGTGTACGATGGTGCTTTTGGGGTATTGCTGTTACTGTTTATCCGGAAATCATAGGGTTCCATTGTATGGTTATCATTTGAATTATCATCAAGACAATGAATAATGGGAATTTCTGGCAACGATGGAGGTATTGAGGGATATGTGGGGGCATTGTTATTAACATTGATATTATTGTTGTTATTTGTCGCATGCGCACGTCCTTTAAAAAATCGTTTTTTGGAATTAGAAGCAGTATTTTGTATTTCATTCATCATAGAATGGTGAGGTTGAAATGATTGCGGTGTTGTTCCTAACGCCATAACTGAAGGATGATGACTGTTCGAACTAGACGAAGTCGCTGGCCCCATTGCTGTTGTAGTAGTTGTGTTTGAAGATGAAGGTTGTACGGGCACCATAATTGTCGCCGAGGAAGCCAAGGAAACTTTTGATCCATTGTTACTGTTGTGTGATAGATACAACGGTGATGGTAAAGCGTCCGATAGATTAGCATTAGCAGCTTTTGGCATTCCACCGGAACCAGCTTGATTATTACTGCTATTAAGGTTAATATTGTAAGCGTTGTTATTATGTTGTCTACGGAAGAAACCTCCACGACGAATCGTGATCATTTTCGGATCAACTATTCCGCCATGTGTAGTGTCGCTAAGGCTTCCGCTCTGAATTGGCTCGTTGGCAACTGCTTTTGGTATTGCTGCGGGGGATGAAGGCGTAAGAGGAATATTTTTTGATGTGGGACTTGCACTAGATTTGTTATTGTTGTTGTTATTGATCCCGCCGCCTGTGATAGGGCTTGACGTATTGCCATTAGTAATACTTGCTATACCCACGACATTGTTCACATTTCCACCTCTTTTACGTAGTAGAGCTCCAGCCCATTGTTTTGCCCAGCCAATGCGTTGACGTACAGCTCTTTTATCATTATTAATAGATTTTTAATAAGTATATACACACCGCGTAAAATACAAAATAAGACGGAAATTATAGTATAAAGAATTAAAATACCTTTTTGCCATCGTCACATTAACTTTACCAGAATTTTTCATTAGAAATAGCATAGCACAATTCGCAGCAAACAATAAAACGAAGAACAGATCCCACGAGCATAATCGTATGACAAACATCGATAGCGTCAAACCTAGTAACACTTTTCGTCGCTGTTTTACAAAAGCGATCTCTCGTAATACTAAATTTAAATATTTTCATTAGTATTTCTCATCCACAAAAAATTCTAGACAATTTGATCCAAATATCATACCAGCAAACGAAGCTTTCTTGGTAGCAGTCGGATCCACATCCGGATACGTCAATAAATCAATAAACTGCAATGGAATATCGGTTATGGTCAAATTCTTGTTATTCGACGAAGCCTTATTTGATGATGAATTATTGTTCTTTATGTTAACATCGCTATTATTCAGGTTATTTGAAGGGATAGCTGGGCCTTCAAGCAATCCGAGCAACATTTCAACAATTATATTTCCAAATGATGTCCATCCCTCTATTGAACCTGGTGCCTCTGTTGGATCTACGGGGTGATCCGTAGGAACAACTCCTTCGGAAGAGCTTTCACTATGAGAATACTCTGAATCACTATAATCCGAATGATGTGTTGTTTCTTGTGTATTGTTGTTGTTGTTATTATTTACAATATCAGCGCCCCCCTCCGATTTCCTCGACGACGATGAAGAAGCAACGCCATTATTATTACTATTACCCCCGCCGCCACCACTATGGTGTTCATCCACTTCTCCTGATGAATTCCATTCGTCAGCGGTGATGGATGCATCAGTCGTGTATCCATCTTCTTCAAAAGGAGTTACCTAATTACCAATTAAATGATTAATACATTGAAATTACCAAAATCACTTTTTTTAAATGGGATAAATCATACATTTTCTTCTCTCCACGCTTTGAGTTGCTTTAATATCTTCTTTGCTGTCTTTTTTCCTTCAACTTCTGGCAAAACTTCGTTTTGCAGAATATCGAAAGCTTCTTGTATTTGAACTTCATCATTATTTTCTGAAACTAATTATTCGTAGACATATGATGTTAGAATTAACATGGATCGATTACACGGGAAAAAATCACAAAGATTTAAATAAATGTTCACCTCGATAATGCGGAAAACGCCTAGTAATAATACGATACTCTGGCACATAACTTCGTTTTCGATTATTGATTTGTTGCTGCTGTCCTCTCTGCTGCAACACAAAAAAATTCGAACTTCGTATCGTTTTCCAGCTAGATCGACCTAACCCACCAATTAGGCTCGGCTGTACGAACAACATTTTGCGCGTCTAATACTAATCTGTAGTAGAGGGATATATTCTCGTGGTCCACCACCCACACCAGTTACGTTTTGGTTGATATGTTCGAGTGTGTGAGTGGCGAGGTGGTGTTTTGATGAGAGGAAATTGACTGCAAGAGTCAATAGGTAGTTTTTACTTGATTTCAGAATCAAAGAATGGAAATGATCTAATAAATGATTCAGGAAAAAGTTGTAGATTATCTATTCTCAACTATTATTAATAATAAAATCAAGGTATGACGACAAGTGAACAGATGGAAGGACGGGAAGTTGTTTACAAGTTCAAATCTTAATCTGTAATATCAATAGAAACAGGTTTTGTAATGTTAAAGAAAAACACAAACACGAAAAAGAAAGATGAAAAGATAAATAATACTGGAATTTTGCTAATGTCTAATAATAGTACATCAACATCATCATACCATCATATATATAGTCTCATAGAATAGCGTGGAACCTTATCTATTTGCCATTGTGTATAAAAAAACGTGGATAATACTTGACTCCATACATATACAATACATACATATTTTATTAACTTGATTATTATTTTATTATTACGCGCCTACATGCATTTTTCGGGTAGATTATAATAAGAAATATGCGTATAATTTCTCCACACGATCGAATCATCGCGGATAAATGTTTCTCCTTCCATGTGAAGACAAGTTCGAGTTCTAGCGGTTTCTTTTGATTCGTGATCAATTTTGATTATATAGTGATAGGACTAGTTGTCCTGTCAATTTCAATAAATGTGTTGTACTTAAATACTACTATCTCTATATTATCCATCTATCCACAACATATACATGTATATGTATTATTGTAATTTCCGAATGTAGCGAATAAACTACGACTCTTAAATTAGAAGTTGTCTCTTCATAATGCAAATGCAATGACACACGTTTTAATCTTCGCTTCATAGATATAAGACGCATTGAAGATAATAAATATGGGATTTATAATGTACGCAATTAAGTGAGACAGGTTTTACAGAGCTCAACAATAGTTATCAAAGAAAATGGATAATAAATAAGCTCAGTTTCACATTGCTCAAATAAGTTTCCTCTCGGCGATTCACTCCTTCTGTTTGATCAAAGAGTTGAATTTTCGATTTTGTGACCATAATGAAGGTTTACGAACTAAAAATATGTCACTCGTGCCCACATTATTTAAAAATTCGGAGTAAATTCCCAATGGCAGACAGGATTGTGTACATCGTTCATTGTACGTACTCTAAACAAAAGATAGCGAGTTTCTCGAAAACACAACAATAGAGAGATTTCCTTTCTAGTATGGGATCCCCTGTGCACAAACAGTCTAATGTTCAATTTTCTAAACCATGGGTTTCACCATAACGACGAAATCTGTTGTTCGAATCTTGTCATTTGGAGATAATCTTTAATTCGCCATATGACTAGAATATGTTGTCTGTGTCAATGGTTCTAGTTGTGTGTGTGCGAATCGTTGCTAATTTTGTAATAATAACAAGGTTTGACATTTGGAATATAACGAATTATCTGTTATCTATCATGCTAAATCATAATCAGTCATCGTTATCCAATAGAAGAATCGTTACACAATAATTATCATCTAAATAATCAAATTAAAAATTGGATGATTTTTTATGATACATGTACAAGAACAAAGCTGCCATTAATTCCAAAGCTGTCTGAAATCTATCACCATCGTTGTCTCGAACTACAGGCATCCTCCTGAGTTGCTGTCGTACCAACTGCAACGAATGCATGTTGCTGATGTAGTTGTTTGTGCCTCGGTTTCAGGAGGAGGTGCAAAGTTTGTTATTTCGCCCACCTCCTGATTACCAGCGTTTTTTCTTCATCTGCTGAATTTTGCAATACATTCTTGATGACTGCTGCTTGAGGTGCTTTGCGCCATAAACGTTCGAAGTTCTTCATCGTCTATTTCACCCTTACTCTAAATTCACTGTAACAGCAACGTAAAAAGCTTTACCCCAGATGATATGTACAACTCTTCGCGAAATAAGCTTTCTTCATTTTCGACTTGATCGCGTTGTTGATATGAATTAATATTATATATAAATATTTTATTAAAATACATCATTAGCAAAATACTTGCGCTCTCTATTTCCAATGCTATATTATTTTAGTACATACAAAATAATAAAAAAAATAACGAAATATCTAATCTACTCTCATCTTCTATTAAATGTTTTTGTTATTATTCTGCAGATGAATATGAATATATGAATATCATTATTGTTATTATTATTACTATATACTCACCTAAATGATAAAATAAGAAATGATAATCAACAATAAAATGCAAGAAAGCTAATAATGTTTTTCCTATCAAATCATTCTGAAGAAAAAACCGTATTCCTTAGTTTGGCTATCACTCTTTAATTATAGAACCAATCTATTGTATCAAAAACGCCGTCACCATTTAGCCTTATGTGAACTCGCAAGACGCTCAGACACCAGCCGCCACACAATTTCCGGATTATACAACTGCATCTTTTTCGTCCCCTTGCCGACCTTTCGCGCCTTACCTCCCTCCAACACGGCTTCCTCATCATCCGAGCTCAGTCGATACTGTCGCAAGAGTTTTTGCATGTCGTGGTCCAAGAAGGCAAATTTGTCCAGGAATATTTTGTCGCTGTTGCTGTCTGATAATGTGTATTCCCAGACGTGCGCCGGGAGGAAATATGAGCGTTTGGATATGTCTGAACCTACTATGAATGCTTTGTCTAGATAAGGGTTATCCTATATTATTTAATTTATCCTTTTGAATTAGTATATTTTTTTTTTAGACCCAAAACGTGCAAAATGCAGGAAAATAAAAAAACCTTCAACAGTTCCGTAAACATATTTTTAAAGAAGGCGAGAGCCTTCTTATGAAAAGGTTTTCCGGCTTTAAGATCATAATCATATGCCATCTCAGCAGGCAACTCGAAGTTATCAACCAGCACGAAACAATGCTGATTATGATATTTGTAAAGATACGAGGATAAATCGCGGAACGCCTTCTCCCAATCAGCCTCTGTCAATCCACGATCACATGCACAGATATCTTCAAAATGTTCTCGGTCTTCTAGAGGCTCTAATCTGTTTGGGAGGTATTTGTGTTTGAGGTAGACCAGACAAATCATTCGTTTGATATTTTCGTACATTTCTGCCCAGTTGGTTCCTTTGATACGCTATTAATTATCATTTCAAACAAGCAACCAAAAATATCATAAACAACTAATATGGCATAAGGAAAAAAAATTGAAAAAAATATAAAAATACGAAAATATTACAAACCGACATATCAAAATGGATCACTGGAACTTTTTTGAAATACTGACGGACGATATTTTTCGGTTTCCATATTTCAAGGTCACGAAATATTTCTTCACGTGGTATTGGCTCGGCTGTCGGTTTGATATTGAAGAAGCAATCGAGCATGGAGAGATTAGTAGTCTATTTTTTTTTTTACAAAAATTGAAAATAATTAATTCGTTGTTCTTTCATATCAGAAATAGAAATGCAAAATTTTCTTGAGGTATTGAATTTCCAAAATAATCACCTTGCCATAACCGTGAGGACGAATTATCTATCAGACATAAACCAACAAAAGATTGTGAATTTTATTGTATAGGATAATAAAATTCTCAAATATATTATTTCACGTACTAGAGCTACACGACCATTGAATTCGATACAATCTTTAATAAAGAGAGATCGGTCGACAAATTCATATCCTTTTAGAATAATCTCCTCGAAATTAGAAGGCCTGTGTCCGTCTAAAATCATAAGTCATGTCAATTAATCATTATCTATATATAATATTAGGGTAAGACCAAAAAACAAGAATTCTCAAAAATATTCCAGAAGAAAACCAAGCAATTCTTCCAACACGCTTCAATATTACCCAAAAATAGCTTGCCACCGAAAGTTTATCAAAAGCAAAGAAAAAACCAATAAATACCCTTATTGACAACTCTCGGCACCTCCAGCTTTTGCCACCCCGCTGCATCATCATAATAAATCCGCCTCAACACCCCATTCTCCGAGGAAATCTTGTGCGAATTCTTATACCTCATATAATCAGTCGACAAAAAATTATGTTGTTCTTCGTCCACATAGTAAACTGGCGGCGAAGAAGGGTCACCAGTAGCAGTACTAGTAGTAGTATTGGTAGAACGACGACGGCGTACTGACCGAGGCGAAGAGCGGCCAGCAGAAGAAGACTGCCGTTTTGAGGAGACTGAATACAAGAAAAAAAGCAACGAGCAGAGGAGAGACTTGACGCGTAGGTGGTATGATGATTACAACTTTTCGAATCTTACTTTTCATACCTACGTCTTTGTTTAATTACACATCCGGCTAGTGCTACTAATATCGTTGCACTTGCTCCGATTATTGTGGTTGTGCTCGCTGGAAAAGATGTTTCCGTTTCCATGCTGTTGTTTGAAGTTGCGTTGTGCTAATGCAGCGTGTCGGATACAAAATGAGGTGAAATTTATTTTGAAGTATTGAGAAAGGATTCTATAAAACAAACGACAATTATAAATCCGAGTCAAAAACAATGCTAAATTAGGTATGAAAACACGGAATTTGATTTGACATGTGCCATATATAATATTAAAAAAGCGAAAAATTTTTTCTCGAAGAAACAAATACAACTATCGCGAATAATGTTGATTTCTGTTTCAAAGAGAACAAAATAAAAGTTGGAACAGTAATATTCTATTCTTCAATTCATACTTGTGTTGATATCCTTTTTCACCAAATTAATGGATCAAATTCTAGACTTTAGATCTAATTATGCATGAAAGTTCCAGTTTCAGAATTTTATTCCAGAGATTTCTATTTTTTGATTCAAAAATACACTGATCTATTAATGAAGATTCAGAATTGGTTTTTTATTAGTTAGAAATTTTTAATATAATTACTCAAATTTAGTTTTTAATTTGAATTGCTAATCAAAAATTTAAAAATCAATTAAATAATAATATTTTTTAATTGTTATATTTTTTTGTTTTAAAAGTATGAATATAATAAAAAAATGATTTTAATATAGTTGACTCTTGAAATATGTAAGTGTAATTACAATTATATATTGTATTTGTTATATAAATTACAGTGACTTTCAAAATTATGGAATTATATATGTAATTTTATTAATAAAATATAGTAAAAATTGAAATTTTTGTTTTAATAAATATTTCTTATTTTTATATTAAAACAAAGATTATAAGTTATAGTTTAACATATAATTTTTCTGGATTTTTAGATTTTTTCTGATAAAATTGGTTTAATTAAAAAGTTATTGCAAAAATTTTTTATAATTAATTTATATTTTAATTATAAAAAATTTTTGCAATAACTTTGCAATTAAAACAATTTTATCAAAAAAATCTAGAGAATCCAGAAAAAATATGTGTTAATTATAACTTATGATTTTTGTTTTGATATAAAATAAAAAATATTTATTAATATATTTTATTAATAAAATTATATATAATTTTTGTTAGTTATTATAAAACAAAAATTTTAATTTTAATTATGTTTTATTATAATTATATAAGTGATTTTATAATTTTGAAAGTCACTGTATTTTTTTTTAATTATAGTAAATTTAAACTTTTATATAAAATAATCTGATAATTCAGCTTTTTATTTTTAAAGTCAAAAAACTTTTATTTATATAAAATTGATTTTTAATAAAATTAATTATTTTTTTTAGTTAATAAATTAAAAATTATTCAGATTTTTAAGATAAAAGATCAGAAATCTATTTTTTTTGAAAATATTTGAATAATTTTGTAATTTTTTTAAATATTTTCAAAAAAACTAATTTTATTTTTTTATTTAAATTTTGAAGATTTATTAGTTAATTTAATAAATCAGAAAAAAATCTAAAAAATCCAGAAAATATATATTAAATTATAACTTATAATCTTTATTTTGATATAAAATTAAAAAATATTTATTAATATAATTTTATTAGTCATTATACTTTAAATTATTTTTGGAATTAATATATTTATAATTTTGATTAATTTTCAATAAATTTTTTGATATATTTCTAAAAAGTCAATATATGTATATATATATATATATATATATATATATATATTATTAAATATGTGTAGTAATTAACAAAATCATGAAATTATAACTTTATAAAAAAATACAATTTTTTTTTCAAAAATTTTCAGGATTTTTTCAGAATTCAGAAAATTTTCTGAAAATTTAATCTATTATAAATTTAATAAAAATCTTAATATTAATTTTCAATTGGTTTTTATCAGACTTAAAGCAAATTAATATATTTTAAAATAACCTGAAAATATTTAAAATAAGCCTAAAATAAATTAAATTATAATTTTTAACTATCTTATTTCAGATTTATTTTAAGTATTTTCAAAATATATTTTAAAATATTAACCTGAACTAAGTCTAATAAAAATTGGTATTAAGATTTTTATTAGATTATATTAGATTAAATATAGAAAATAGTTTGAATTATAGTTAAATTACTTTATAATTATTAATAGTTATTACCTTCAAAAAAACAAAATTTGATAATTTTAGAAAGATATTTATTATTATATTTATATATAAATAAAAAAGTAAAATAAGATAATTATAGAAAAGTATAATTATAATAAGTATAATTATAAAGAAATTTAATTATATTTAAAATACAAATAAATAAATTTATTTTTAATTTTATCTTATTTATTAGAAATTTGTTAAAAATATCTGATTTTATTCTAATTTTTATTAATTTTTGTTAGATCAAGTACAAAAAATAGTTTAAAATAAGAAATATTAAAAAAATAAAAATATTAATAATTTAATTTTTTATCAGATCAAGTACAGAAAATATATAATATTAATATTAGAAAATAATTGGAAATTTTTGATTTTTATCAGTTTTTATTAGGTCAAGTACAGAAAATAATTCAGAATATAAAATATTAATATTAAAAGATGATTAGAAATATCTAATATTATCTTAATTTTTATTAGTTTTTGTTAGATCAAGTACAGAAAATAGTTCAAAATATAAAATATTAATATTCTGATATTATCAATTACTAATAAATTTATCTTAAAATTTAATTATAATATTTATCATTTATATCACTAAAAATTTAATATTTTTTTTATTAAACTAATACTTATAATCTCTTTATAATTCATTTTTTGAAACTTTTTTGAATTATATTTAGTAGTTTTTAATTTATATATTTATTATACTAATACAAATATAAACTAATTATCTTTTTAATATTTATAAATAAAAAATATATTACTTTTTTAAAAAAAATAAATAAAAAAATATTAAATAAAAATTAAATAATACTGAAAAAATATTTTAAGTTTATTAATTTACAGTTTTAAAGCAATTATATAATAATAAAAAGTATAGTTTTAGAATTATTCAAATTATAATTTTATTTTAATAATAAAGATATCTTTATAATATTTTTACACCAAAAAATTTTATTATTTTCCAGTTTTTTATCTTCACTTATTTTTATGTCAAATATTTTTTTATTAATATTTAGAAAATATTATAGATAAAAAATTAATAATATTGATTAAATTAATATACAGATATTATTTGAAATAAATTAATAATAGTAATATTATACAAAGTTTTTTTTATTCAATATTATCAAATAAATTATAATAATTTGGTATTTTAAATAGATTTTGTAATATAAAAAAAAATAATAAAGAATATTAAAGTAACTGAAAATTGAGTAGTCTCTTATTGATAATATTTTTTTATAATACAAATTCAAAGAAAAATCTTTTTATTTGTTAGATATAATTTTTGTTTTAAAAAAATTTGCATATATTCACAAACTTTGTTTATTATTTTATATATTTAAATTAATAATTAATTAATAAATTAAATTAAAAATTTTTTATTATTAAAAAAATAATTAATAATATTTTTACTTGATCTTTTATCAAGATTTCTAAACAAAATATAATTAAATATAATATAATTCAATTAGTCTATTTCTTTATCTTAAAAGTATTAGAATATCTAAATATATTTACTAATAGATATTTAAATATATATGATATATTTTTTTGTTTTTTTCTATTATATTTCTAACTTACTTCTAATTATTAATTAATATATTAAATATATTATTACAAATAGAATATTCTATAATATAGTTATTTTATAATAATTAATTTTTTTATTATATTTAATATTTTTAATAATTAAATTTATTTAATTTAATTATTTATTATTTAATATTTAATTATTTATATTTTATTGGATAAATTTAAAATTATGTAACTTTTATATATAATATATAAATTGAATATATGATTTTTATATATAATTTTTGTATATAATTTTATATATAATTTATTATTTATTATTATTATTTATATAATTCTTATAATTTTTATAATTTATATAATTTACATAATTTATATAATTTGTATAATCTAATTAATTCATATTATTTATAACTTTATAATTTCACTTTATTTATATATTATTATTTAAAATACTACAGTATAGTTCAACTTAAATTGTTAACTAATCTAAAATATAAGATAAATTAATAATTAGTTATGATATAATTAAATCTTCAAGAAAAACAAATTACAAAGTGACTAGCCACTATAATCAGTTCAAACTTAGATTATGATTGATTTTATAATGAGGATATCTGTATTATTTTTTAATTAAATGTGATTTAATAGAGCTAAAATACTATATAATTTGATAAAGCTCTCTTTGGAGCAAATATTATTATTATGTGCAGAAGTAGAAAAGTCACAAAGATATAAATTGGGATCAGAGTGAATTTTAATGATATTATTATAAAATAAGATTTGAATATTATCCTATTTATTTTGTGAATTATAATTTTTTTTAATTTTAATAATAGCTTATTATTTTTCAAGTTGTATTTTTTTTGTAATGTTTGTTTCAAATATATATATATTCTTTTTTTACAAACCAAGAGATAAAATTAAAGATAATAATTATTGCTTTTTTTGAATAAGAAAAGTATGACTTAAAATAAATTTAATTAGTTTAATAGAAATAAAGTCTTTGAAAAATTTAATATATTTTGGAATAATAAGTATAATTAAAGAATTATGAGAAAATTTGCTTTTTTGTAAAATTAGAGATAGTATTTTTGAGATTATAAGAGTTAAAAATATTAAAAGAAAAAAAATATTAATTAATCAAGTTGATGAGTTAGATAGATGTATTTTGAAAGATTATTAGTATAATAGTTCTTGAGATAGAACATATTTAAATATAATTAGTTATTTTTTCATTATTAAGATATCTTGAATATAAGTTATTGATATAAAGTTATGATCAAAATTAATAAATAAATTATGAGTATTTTTCAGATAGAAATTATAAAAGATTAATTTGAGTAAAGATATATATAA